TTGTATTAAAAATTTTTCAACCTTGCTTGTAATTTAAGTTCATTCATTTTCTACTTCAGAAGTACATGCTTGTCAAAAAGCTAACCCATACGGATCAGATGACTCAAGTAAGAGCTTTACTTGCTGCTTTACTATTTATGTAGTATATAACTTATAATATCTCCTTATATTAGATAAACTGCGTAATATATAGTAGCATTATAGTAGGTTTTTGCTTGTTTTAAATTCTGATTTGTTTAATTTAAGTTAGAGTAATTTTTGACCTGTGACCTAGGTAATAACTCTAGGCAGCTGATAAATCTATGAAAAAAACTTGTACTTTATTAAATAAATATAATTTTTAATTATACTAACTTCAACTTTATCATCTGGTTTATATTCTTTATAGGATCTTTTTTGAACTTTCTCACAGGCTTGGGCTTGCACTTTGTAGGTTTGTACTTCATGAGCTTGCATTTCATGGGCATACACTTTATAGATATGCACTTCATAGGCTTGAGCTTGGGCTTGTATTTTATAAGCTTGGGTTTGCATTTGTATTTTATAAGCTTGAAGTGACTTATAGGATTGAACTATCTCATAGGCCTGGGTTTGCACTTCATAAGTTTGCATTTCATAGGTTTGCACTTCATAGGTTTACACTTCATGGGTTTGTACGTTATGGGCTTAGGCTTGTATTTTATAGGTTTTTTCATATTGATTATATAAAGAATATTCGTTTAGAATTTTGCTGAGAAAAGAGAGATGTGATTATTGACAACTCTACTTTTTGATATTTCATTGTGATTGCATAGACAATGGTCATAAATGATGATACAAGGATAATGAAATAAATGTCAGCATGAAAGTAAGATTACTGGTACAAAGAGGTCAGGCATAATTGCACTTTCACACAAAGCACAAATATCTGAACATCGATATTCAGAAGGAATTAAGTTTGGATTATTGTCATAATACACTTTACAAACGAATTTTTTATATTATCTATTGCAAAAATATAACGATTTCTTATCAAAAAAAACCTTTTATACAAATATGATATAATCGAGTAAAAATTAAACTATATTGATGTATATAATCAAATAATATAGACCTGTAATTCTTACTATGAGGTCAAAGTTAAAAAAAATAATAATATTATTATTTCTTTAACTTTAAAAAGAAAGTATAATTAATAGTGATTTAAGTTGAACTTACATTTGATTACTATCAAGTAAAAATGACATATATAGTCAGATTAATCCACAGCAAATATAAAATCTGATATGGCTTTTTAAAAAATAAAATAATTATTATATATGAATATCTGTAGCTTTTATTTTAGATCATTAACTATCTTGATAGACCTGGTAATGATTACATGTCAATCAAATATAAATATGAGGTAATTGTATGATTAATAATATTAGTGACATAAATATAATCTTTGTTAATAAGTATTGTTATTATGAGTAATTGATTAAATTTATAGTTATTGAGTAAATATAAGATAATTGTTTTGTAGTATATTATTAAGTGTGTAATTATCGATCAGAATTGCTTTTGTCTTTCTGTAAACTCTACTTTTATTTTGATTATATACCTTATTTCTAGTTATAACAATTTTGTAACTTGTTGAAACATTAGTTGTATATTTAGTTTGATTTATTGAAATAATAGTCAATATATTATAAACCTATAATCAAATGAGAAATGTAAATTGTAATTTGTTAAAATAATAGTCACACAGTTAAGCAATGTTATATAATTTACTGTCTCAAGCTTTTTTGCTATTTTCTAATGTCCTAATGAAAATATTCTAAAATATCCTAACTTATATCCAAACTGTCCTATATACAACACTGCAGTTAAGCATAGCCTATCAAAATAACAGACAATGTAATACTAATTTATATTAAGTAAGAAATATAAAATTGTATCAAAGTTAAGTATGGCTTGCTAGGATGACAGCCAACATTTTATATATTTGAAAATGTAAAAAAAGGAAGAAAGAGAGAATAAGGCAAGGAAGAAACTAATTGATACTTAGCAAAGTTTGTATAGTGCTTGATAGCAAAAGAGAATACATCTGTTTATGTTCTTTATAGTAATATCCTGAAAATGAGAAACAAAACAAAAAAAACATTATTTATTATAGCAAAAAAATAAGTTATAGTTATTGTATGGGTTGTAGAAAATAACTAAATTTGTACAAGTTAACCAGTTTCATATGGTCTTCAGCTATGTGAAATGAGTTGACCCTTGCAAATTTAGTTTTTTATGCAATTCTATATAATAACTATATTATTACATGGGTCTGACATAACAACTTGTATAACACCTTTCATATTAATAAAAGAACAATTTTAATGTTGATGTTATGAAGGCTCTGTTCAATAAGAATTTTTTTAAAAGTGAAAAACTAAAACTAATCAAGCGAAATTCCAATTATATATAACCTTATCTAAAAATTTTTTTAAAAAAATGAAACTTTAATTATGTAAAGAATCCTGTTCAATGAAAAATGAAAATAAAATTACATGATTCCATTTAGTGTAATATAGAAAGTGAAGACTTAATAATAAATATAGTGGCTTATGCTAAGATTAGTTTATGCTGAAATTTGAGATCCTTATTTAAATTTCTAATAGCTACTAAAATTCACATATACCTTTTTATTATAAATACTAACACTAATTTCTAACCTAACTATAAAAAAAAAAGACTACAAAAAAGGTCCAAAAAATTTTGTACTATAATTTCAATAATAAAATAAGTCAAATTTCTAGCTTAAGCTAATCTTAACATAAGCTGTACAATAAATAATCTGTCTAATGATAGTTTTAAAAACAGAGGTTTAATAATGAGTAATTCAGTATACTAAACATTATAAAAAAAAAGATTTAATAATATATGACTAATTTAACAAAAATTTAAAGAAAATAAAAATTAATAATATATAACTTCATCTAATAAAAATTTTAAAGTAAATGCTAAAAACGAGATTCTGTTTAGTAAAAATTAGGAATTTTAAAAAAATTAAAAATTTAAAAATGTGTGATTCTATTTAATATAAATGTAAAGAACTAACTATTTATATAATAATCATTCTAAACAAAAAAAAATATAAAAACAAATTAATACTAATACTGTCCAATAACAATTTAAAAAAGTAAAGATCTAATAATGCTTTATCTTCAATTTTAAAAATATAATAACCAACCAATTTAATGTTAATATAATTAAATTGGAATACTTTCATATTTGATAAAATATGAAAGTGTTCCAATTTAGTTATTTTTTAAACACATGCTGTAAATGAGTAAAAAAACACAGGTTGTTATATAAAACCTGTGCAATAATAATTTAATTATTATGCAATAAACAGTTACTTTTATTATATATTAACAATTACTATTATGATCATATTAAATATTAAATATGCAGCATATAAATATTTTTCTTTGCAATATATATTAATTGAACAAAAAAAATTGACCTTATTTAAATATCTAGTTAAAAAAAGTTTTATGCTATAAAAAGACTTTCATTTGATTAGCTGTTTAAATTAAATTAATTTTATATTATTTATACAGTTTAAAGTACTTTTAAAACTACAAAAAATAAACAGAAAAAAGAAGTATATAAAAAGTTTTTTTAAGATTGAAGGACTCTAGTATTAAATTATTTCTAGTTTTAGAGAAGTTAGCATAATAGTGACATCTTAAAGATAGATAGAATTAG